CACCCACCCACCCACCCCTCACGCAGCCACTTCTCCTTTTGCTGCAGCCAAAGGAGGCCAGTCCAGACTACGGCTTCCTCGCATCAGGATCCCAGACAAGAGTGGCTTTGGCAAAAGTGGAGGTGAATGAGGAATTTGGCGCACAGGTGAAACAGGAGCACCTGGGATGAGTTTTGTGTCACACCAAACAACAGCTGGGCCGTAGGTCAAGCGGACTGATTTCCACAGGAATGCTGAAGGTGGATGGAAGTGATCTGGGTGGGGGCTGTGGTTTCCCCATCTCATCCCAGCTGAGATTCCAAGCCCCCGCCTGCCGCTGACTCCGGGGTGCAGCCCCCACAAACCTGAAGGGTGGCAAGGCCACCAAAGGGAGCTAGTTAGCAACTGGCGAGGTCTGGGACTGGACAGTCACGGGAAGAAAGCTTGTCTGAGGGCCAAAGGCGTCTGTGCTCCCCCTTCCTTCGCAGCACGTGTGGATCTGGGGCAAAGAGCAGATTGACAGAAACAGTTGGAACGTGTTTTGGCGCCCGGCGCCTGGTAGGGAGATGGCCAGAGAGGGAGCAGACTCAGAAGGGCATCATGGTGAGTCAGTGTTGCTCACCCCAGCTGGACGTCTGCATTTATGCCCTTGTTCCTCTGGAGATCTGAGTGGGACTGTCGCCTGCGCGTTTTGCCCATGAAAAGCTCACCAGCCTCGCCAGGAGCTGCTGTGCTGCGCCGGGTGGGGTCTCCATTGTTCCCAGAGCTGTCCTTTTCTCTTTGGAAGCCAGTCTGTCTTGGCCACAAAGAGGGCCATTGTGGCAAGCCTCTGTGCCAATGAATGAACTAAAAAAAAGAGCCCCCTGCCCCCGCGCTCTTCTCTCTCAATCTGTATCAGGAAGGGAAGAGGCCGCGGCTGGCCGCAGGAGGAAAGCGTGAGGGTTCCCGGGGGCTCTGGGCTGCCTTCCTTGCCTTGCGAGACTCCAATTTGTGAGAAACCCAGGGAGTCGCAGGGGGCACAGCCCAACCCTCTCGACCCAGCAGGGTCGGTTCCCAGTGAAGACGGAGCCTGCCTGTCGCTGCGCGTGGAGGGTTGGGAGCAGGAGGCAGCTGCAGAGCTGCGAAATGGCCCTGGTCCAGGAATGGCCGGAGGGGCCGAGAAAGGCGGGGCATTGCGAGGGGCGTCTGCTGGGCCGGTTGCCCTCAGCCAGGAATGAGCACCCTCCCCATGAGCGAGGAAGCGGGCCTGAGTTCAAGAGACGCCAAGAGCATCAAGTCCCGACTTGCACTGGAAGTTTGCTCCCGTGAGCATAAGCGCATGCTCCCAGTGGAGGCTCTTTGGCACACGGCTTTTGCTCTTTACGGGCATCTGCCTGCAATCCCAAGAAGAGGCTGTTGAACCTTGCTGGGCATTTCTCCCTCTTACTTCTAACATGCAAAGGATCCTGGCCAGTGGGCATTGGGGTGAAGGCCTTCGACTGGAAGTGGCTGGGGCCTCAAGTTCAAGGCAAGTCCACGGGTGACTTGGGACCTCTTGCCCTCTGATTCTTAGCCCATCCCACCTCACAGGGTTGTTCTTAAGGAGATAAGATGAAGGAAAGGCAGGAGGTTCACCTAGCCGGTTGTAGCTGAATCCCCCCCCCAACATTCTGAGCTTGCTTGTGGGTCACTGGCAACCAGAAGGGCCGCTTGGCAGGGAAACGCCTCTGCGAGGGAGCTGCTTCAAGGAGAGCGATGGGGCAGGGGTACTTCAGGGGCACCCCCTTCCTTTGCCCTTGCAAGGGTGCGGAGCCACATGGAGCCCAGCAAAATGCCCCACTGGCAGCTGGATTAGCCGTGCCCTCCCCAGCAGTTCAGGAGCTTCCTCGAAAGGGCTTTGCCAGGGTGCTGAAGGGTGGCGGTTTGGCTACACGGTCTTGGGCCTCTGCGTGGCTTGTGGGGCTGCCGAAAGGGAAATGGCCAGAAGGTCCATCCGCCACCGGGTTTGGACTCCAGATCCCATAGTCCCAAACCGGGGCAGGTGGCTTCCTTGATTCCAGTCCCTCCAAAGGCTGTGGCCCCTTTCTTTGAAGTTGTTCTCTGGCCTCGGATTCTGCCCGTCCTTTGTCACGTTGCTGGTCGACTCAGCCGCCTTCCGCAATCCCGCTGCGGCTTTCCCAGCGTGACCAGCCTTCCGCTTCCCCCGGTGCCAGATCGTTGCCCACGAGTCCCCTCTCTTGGATCCTGCGAGGGGCGTCCCACCCGGCCGCCCGCCCGGCTGCCTCCCATTCCAGGCATAGCTGCTCCGACTCACTTTCTATCTTTAGCCGAGTGGCACATCTCTGGCACGGGGAGATCGATGCTGGCTTGCTTAAGCATAGCCCTCAAGGAGAGGCAGCCAAGACCAGTGTGAAGGGGGGGGGGGGGGCAGGAGAAGAGGGTCCGTGATCGGCTGTCCACCTGCCATGCTGCCCCCTTGCCCAGAGCTTAGAAAGGCCTGGTGGGAAATAGGCTGCCCGGCCTCTGAGAAGGTCGAGCTTAACTGTTGGCTAACCCAGTCTGACTGCAGGTGACTCAAGAAACGGTGGTCGAGGAAACCGTGGCTGTGAGCCACGAAGTCTGGGGACTACTTAGCCCAGGGACTCCGACCCTGTAAGCCGGGATTGAACTGACGGCCCCGGGCTGAGTGGCGGTGGGGGGGGACGATGCAGCAGCCTCACTTTAGTGAGTGACCAACTGATTCGGGCGTGGACTTTGGTGGCCCCGTTATGTTGGACGGAGGAGCAGCACAAACAGGTTTACCATAACAGACTCCCCAGGACAAACCTGCTGTTGGAGGCCTGTGTGACATTTTGAAAGAAAAGCAATACGGCTCTTTTACCGGGTTCACACGGCTGCCCGTGGTGGTTTCCAAGCCTCCGGGCTCCATCTCGCGCACAGTCCCCTCCTTCAAAGCCTGCCCCTTTATGGCTTGCTGTGAGGCATTAGACCACTGTCGTCTCCTGAACTGGCCGCCTCTAACCTGGCGGCCTCCGACTGGGTTGGATAATAGGTCCCATCGTCCCCAACTGGCATAGGTGGGCAAAGAAGGCTGTTTTGCAGCACGTGAATGCTGCCCTGGTTGAGCGCACCCACTCAGTGTAAACGGGCAGGCAGCTGGTCAGCCGCCCTCCTCGCTGGCCTGTCGCTCCTGGGCTCTTGGGTGGCTCTGGACTGGCGCAGCGGAATCCGGCTGCAGCGCCGCTAGAGGAGCCCCCGCCCCGGCTTCTCTCCTGCCATACCTTCCCTCTCTGCTTTTAGGCTAAGAATTGCCTTTGCACACCCGGGCGGGCTTTTTCCCTCCCCAGTCCGAACAGCTGCCTCTGCTCAGCCTCAGGGCTCTTAAGGCGCATCCAAAAATACCCGCTGCCCGTCATCCCCAGCATGTGATGTGACACTGATGTTTAGATGGCCTGGCACACAACCTGCGAGTGTTCTCTCCTGCCAGCCCCCCCCCCCCATTATCCAAATATCCCTTTTCCAACAGATGGGATTGCAACCCTGGGCCTTAAATATCGAGAAATCTGAAGTTCCCTAAGTTTCAGACAACATTTGGAGTGAGAAAAAGCCCCCCTCCCCAACCGCTTATTCCCAGGACCACAAAGTCCGGCGCCATCTGATGTCTCGGCTGCGTCACCCCACTATCCACTCAGTGGGCACCAGATGCTCCTGGCACCTCGGGGTGTTCCAAGAAGGACCTCGGAGGGAGGCCTTTGGGTCCAGGCAGCCCTCCATGGGAGAAGGGCCTCGGGGCCCGGCCTTGGAGGAATCAGCGGTCTCCTTGCTGGTTTTGCCAGCTTCCCAGCCCCGCCACAGAGAGGCCCTGAGGGCCCTGACCCCCTGCTTGTGTTCATCAGCCTTCTCGGCAGGCGCAGAGCTGCAGTGAGCCGGAGGGCTCTGGCACTTCGGGGCGCGGGAGGTCTGGGGAAAGCCTTGCCGCTGGATTGGCGAGCGTCCAGAGGTCGTGTGAGGGGCACCAGACTGGGCTTAGTTCATGGGTGTGTGTGAGGGAGAGCTAATTGCAGTCCGTGTGGCACAGTGGGGGCTTCTGCGCGCTCATCCCGTAACTGTAGGGGCCCCATAAAAGAGGGAGGGTCCCCGCTGCGAGCTTCTTGGAACGGGCTTGAGTGTTCTGCGGGGGAGAAGCCGGGGTGGGCCTGGCTGCTGCTGCCACTGAGTGCCCGAGGCTGAGACGGTGTTTCTGCACTAGGCGGAAAGAAGTGAAAAACGGAAGGGCCTCTGCCAGCCCCCGGGCATGGAGAAGTAGCAGCGCATCGTCTTCTTTGGGAGCAGGTTTTCTGCTTGCGGCTCTGAGGGCGAGACAAGTTTCTGAGAGGAACTGTGGGCAGCTCCCGCCGGCTCCTCCATTAGGTAGAGCAGAGCCAAAGGCAGCAGGGCCCGGGGGGGGGGGGGGGCTGAACTGGGTGGGTGCCCCCAGGTTCGCATGCTGGCTGTGTTCGAGGGCAAGGGGGCTTCTCCGGGACTGAAGCCAGGCGGCTGCTGACCGAGCAGGAGGGTGAAGCCCCACTTGTCTTTTCTTCCAGGGGACAAAATGAAGTTGGCTGCCCCCCAACAAGCAGGGGCCCAAAATTACCCCTCTCCTTCCTTTTGAACCTGCGCCGGCTGCTTCCTCACGCCCTTCGGCTGGCGAGTCTCGGGCCCTTTGCAAATGCCTTCCTGCGAAGGGACCCCGGAGTGGCTGAGTCTGCTGCTCCTGTGGCTCGGGGCAAGCGGGAGTGGCCCGGCTGCCTCGCTGGCTTGCAGCTAGGAAGGCGGAATTCCCCCCCAAGAAAGAAATCCCGGTGGGAGTTAGCGCCCGGGGGCCCATCTCGCGCGGCAGAGGGAGGCCTCGTGCTTTCTCCCAGCCGCTCCTCCTCTGGGGCCCATCCTCGGAAAGGATTTGAGGGAGGATTTGCACAGCTGCGGCTTCCCTCTTCCGCCACCAGGTCCGTGTTCGAGTGGCGCTCCGTTTGAGCTTCAGAGGACCACCTTCCGGCTTCCTGCAAGGAGGCCCCTGGAGGCACATTTCCTCACACCTGGAAGGGAAGCGCGCCTTGAGGAGGCCTTGCCCTGCCCCGCTTCAGGCCGCAGCGTTTACTCATCTGGTCTCCGAGTTTCCTGCTTCTGACCTCTGGAGGAAACCCTGAAACGAATGACCGATGAGTAACCTTGCAACTCAGTGGTCCAGGCCAGCTGGCCGGTCCGGCAGAATGGCCACCCTCTAGCCTTGTACGGTGTTGCAGAGGCCCTTGGCCTGCAGACGCCCAAGAAATGCCCCGTGGACTCATAGTTCGTGCCTGACGGGGGTTCGTTCTTCCAGTCGTCGGTTCAGATTTGTTTGGGTTTGTTTTCCATGCTTCTGCCCTGCCCCCCCGACACGTTTTCAGGGTCCTTTTCAATTGGAGCGTGAACAGGGAAAGGCAGAATCGTGCCAGCAGAAGAACCAAACCAAAAGATAGCACAGCCGATTAAAACCATTCAGGGAAAAAGCAACATTCAAAAGCCTGGGAGAATAAAAAGGAAAGAAAATACTTTCTGGAACGGGAGGGACCCTCTCTGGGGAGGGCTCTGGTGAACGCCAAAGCCGGGCAGCGTGTACTCTGGAATGACAAACGCTCCTTCCTCCGTGCTGGAGCGATCCACCTGGCCCAGCCATCGTCCAGGTGTTTCCTGTGCCTCTGCCGGAAGGGGACGGGGGACATCCGGCGACCTGAGTGCCGGTTCCTCGCTCGGATTCACTCCCGTCCCGCCCCGCTTGGTTTGCAGCGGGCAGTTTGCCATTGTGAAGAGATGCCGGGAGAAGGCCACGGGGCTGGACTACGCGGCCAAGTTCATCAAGAAGCGCCAGAGCCGGGCCAGCCGTCGCGGGGTCCGGCGCGAGGAGATCGAGCGGGAGGTGAACATCCTGCAGCGGATCCTGCACACCAACATCGTCCAGCTGCACGAGGTGTACGAGAACAAAACCGACGTGGTCCTGATCCTGGAGCTGTGAGTAGGAGGGTCAGGCGGCGGCCATCAGGTTTATCTCGGGGAAAGGGCGAGCGCGTTAAAAGTAACGCTTCTGGTCTTTGTCGTCCCTTTCAGGGTTTCCCGGCCTCGGCCACTTTAAGAGGTCTGGACTTCAACTCCCAGAATTCCCCAGCCAGCCAGCTGGCCGGCTGGGGA